GTTAAATAAATAAAATAAATCCCTTAACCAATGATTCAACACTTGCCCTTTTAAATGCTAACGGACCCCATTCACCCTACACAAAGTCACTAGAGAGACATTCTGAGTATGAACAAGTTCTAAAAGTAAAACATATACTGGGCTTGACCAATAAATGTGAGGCTAAAGGTGATGTAAAATGATATCTTTACAGTTTTGTAATAAGCAGACAAATGACTTAATAAAGAAAATGGTAAAGAATCCCTGGGGTGAAGAGTTATATATTTTATATCATCTCATCAACAGACCAGCTAAGTTTATCTATTTGGTTGCATCTCAGGGATAGATGTCAGAACCATGATAACTATTTCATAAAAACAATAAAGAAAGAATAGGGTGGTACCCACAGAGATGGTTATAATCTATCTGACTTGTCACAGTCAAGATTTTTATCTAAGTTTGATATATAAATGTATCAAATATATTATATTAGTCTTTCTTATTACAGCCAGAACCAACTATTTGCTGAGGGCAGGATTTCTCGAGCTTTTTGGGCTTAGGATCTCTTTACACTCTTAGAAATTACTGAGGATTCCAAAGAGTTTTTATTTATGTGAGTTATGCCTGCTGATTTTTACCGGATTAAAAATTAAAACAGAGACCTTTTAAAAACGTAAGGGTACATAAGCAGACACATAAGATGTCAGAGTAATGACATCATAACATGTTATGAAGTCTCTGAAAAACTCCACTGTATACTCGTGAGAGAGTAAGAGTGACAAAAGCAAATAATGTCTACAGTTTTTAAGAAAATCATTCTGACCTGGTGGACCCTTTGAAAAGCTTTTTGGACTCTTCAGGGATACCTGAACTTCTTTTGACCTAGAGGAAGATTAGGGTTGTTACAGCAAGTCTGTAAAAAGAGTCAATATTCAGCTTTTAACTTCTAATATAGCAGTTTTTTAGTCTCTAGAGAATAAAGGTATAGAAAGCCAGGTTTTGCTGAGAATTAAAAACAGATTAATAAATTCCCATAATTCTATTTACATATTAAAAGAAAAACATGGGTATCACAAATTTTACTTTAAATGACAGGGAGAAGGAATTCAAGTCGTCAGGTTACTTAGGGAGGCAATGAAAAGCCTTGGAGCAAAGAACAGGAGTCAGAGATCCAAGGAGGACAGAAGAGATCTGATGCCAGTTTACTTGACTACTCCTCCTGGCCTCAATCTCAGGATCCCAACCTGAAGGGGGATATCACTGAAAATACAAATGATGAAGTTGAAGGGAAAACAGTACAAAGGGAACTGGTCCCTGCTTCCTGCTGGAACTCAGGGAGGAGTCTTTCTTTTAAGATGACAGGTATCTACAGGGGTTCTCTTTAGGAATGCAGAAAAGTAAGTGGTCTAGGGTCTAACCTAGTATTCTCAAACTTCTTAATGTCACTACATATAATATTCCTTTTAAAGTAAGTCTTTTTTTTTTTTTTTTTGAGTTGGAGTCTCACTCTTTCGCCCAGACTGGAGTGCAGTGGCCGCTCCCGGCCACCGCAGCCTCGACCTGCTGGGCTCCGGCGATCCTTCCGCCTCAGCCTTCCGAGTAGCCAGAATTACAGGCGCTCGCTACCACGCCCGGATAATTTTTTGATTTTATTGTAGAGATGAGGTCTCGCCTGACCAGGCGGGTCTCGAACCCACGGGCTCAGGCAATCCACTCACCTCAGCCTCCCAAAGGCGCGGGATTACAGGCTGAGCCACCGAGCACGGCTTGTAAGTCTTTTTTACATTTAGATTTAATAAATCTCTTATTGAAATGGCCAATAATTTGGACTGTTCCTTTTTTATGGCAAATCTATAAAAAGAAAAGTTGCACAGATACTACAATGGAGGACAGGGTGGGTTAATATCCATAAGCCCGGATGACGTACACAGGCACCATCAAGGGTGGTTGCCAGGCATGCTGGGCCTGTCCTCAAGCCCCCTGCTGGTGTATGTATGGTGGAGAGGGCTGGTTGATTCTTAGGCTCCCAAATTACGTGAGCAGGCTCCAGGAGGTTGGGCAGGTTCATCCTCATGCCCCAGGAAAGCGTGCATGGGAGCTAATGGTACCAAGGAGAGCAGATTGATCCCCAGACCACTGGACACCACCTACAGGCACTAATAGGGGCAGTCCTGGAGACAGACTGAGCTCCAGGGTCCCAATAGAGTGCCTAGACACAGGCTATGATTGACAGTGTAGACCTGTCCTCAGGGTCATGATGGTGCATATGAGCACAGGCTGTGGTGAGTAGGACTCCTGGATGCCACACTTGACTGCTGGTGGTGGGTAGGAAAAATTGATCACCAGGCCCCCAGATTCACACATAAGCACTGGTCGGGGTGGCACCAGGTAGGGAGAAGCTGTTGTGAGGTGTTTGGTGGTCTGTGCTCACTTCAGTGGAAACAAGCACTGTAGGCCTCTGGATAGTGTGTGTGGTTACCAAAACTAGTGGCCATAGATGGAATGTACTTGTCCTCAGGTCCCTCGATGGTGTGTCACAGGTAACAACAGTGGCAGGTGCGTTGTTTGACTCCCTAGCCCCTATATAATGTGCATGGATAGTGGCAGGGGACAGTCAGGCCTGTTGTCAGAGCCCCCCAATGGTGTGCATAAGCGCCAGCTATTGCAGGCAGGGTGAGTCGATACCTAGGCTACCATATAGCGTGCTTGGGTGAGAGTGACAGTTTGCAGAGTGGGCATGCCCTTAAGCCCCAGGACAATGAACAGGATGGCAGGTTCCCAGACCCCCTGAAGGTATGTACAGGAGTGCGGCAGCCCTGGTACAGGTCGATAGGTGAGGGGACAGGATTGCTTTCAGTGTTAGTGGCCCCCCAGACAGGAGGTTCTTAGATTACGGGGAATGTGTACTTTGGCTAACTTTGTCTCAAGGGCAACTTCCCCAATGCTGCACAGCCCATTCCTCAGGCTGTAGGACACTGAAGGGGATACAATACTGAGAATATGGCTGCATCTCTGGGTCCAACTGGTTTCACAACACTGCAGCCTTATAGGTGGACATGGGGCTTTTTAGTGGGGCTCCAGAAATATGGAAATACGGAGGCTCTTGGGTCCCAGAGTAATATGTAGTCTTGTGGGGGCTGGGCTCTCAATATGTCGATGGACTACAGTTGTTTGGATCTCAGGAAGTTTGCGAGACACAGTGTGAACTCCCTCTCTGGAAAAATGCAGCTGCATGTACTCTAGGCAGCTCCCTATATGAATTTCAGGGCTCATAAGGGCTAATGGAATCTACTATGGCTAGAACTTCAGGGAATCTGTGGTGCGCATGTGGTCTGCTGGGAACCTCTCTTAACTCATTCCTGCACTGAAAAGTTTCTACTGGCTCTTACGTGATCCTGAGTACATGCTTCACTTCCCTTCCTATGTCTCAGATGTTCCCTGTCACTTCCCTACTGAATTCCAGTATTCCCGCTTAGATGCGCTATTTGATATGTGATTACCTATTTGCTCTTTTGGGCCTTCTTTGCAGAGAAGGCAAGTGCCAGATGCCTCTAGTCAGTCATCTTGAAAATTGTATAAGGTAGATTTTGCTGATTGCGAAAGAACACCCAAGAACTCTTTAAAAATTACTGAAATGCAAAGTCCATACTGTCTAAGGAAGTTGAATACCTCTGAACTACAAGTAAGTTTCTAAAACCTCATTAAGATAGATTTTTCCTAGAAAGGATTTATAAAAAAAGTTTGCATGTATGTGTATAATAGGAATAAGATAATAAAAAGAAGCTTATAACTATAGAATCTCCTTATGCTTAAAAGTGACTTATTAAGATAACTTCCATTGCAGTGTAGTCAGCATCTTATTATTGAGGATTTCATATGAATTAGCATACCAGATAAGTCACACCAAAAATAACTTGTTTTCTTTTCTTAAATTCTTTCTTTTCTTTCCAACAAAAATATTTATTTAAGAAGGTAAGATCTTAGAACTATAAAAAACTTACTGAACAAAAGATTAAATTTGTGGCTTGTTTTGATTTAAATCAGTAAAATCCATCGTATATTTGGGCACTAACATTTTTTCAACTTTGCAAGTTGTATTTTAATAATAAAAATGCTCCAGCAAAATTCTTAAACAATCTAGAATTGATAAGAGATTTAGATTTAGATTACACAATATTATTTGCTACACAATATTATTTCTCAAATAAGATTTAGAGCTTTAATCATGGAACATTTTTCCCCCCTGCCTCTTTAAAAAAAAATTTTTTTTAAATAAAGATGTGGGGTACAATTCAGGGTTAGGTGCACAAACACTGATTATGTAGGTACCCTTGTTGATGAGGTATGCCCCTCCCTCCCCCAGCAGTTTCCCTCAACTGCCAATTCCACACCCCCTCCCCTGACAGTTTCCCGTTACTGCCAAACGCTTTCTTATAGTATTATAATTGTTCAAGGTTCGCTTAATCATGGAACATTTTTAAAGGAAGTAAGTGTTACTCCCTTTAGCAGTCACCAGGACTGGTTTACTGATTTTACTTAGCACATTATATAAAAATGTCATTATAAAATCAAATTGTAAGTATTTGAAAACTGGCAAAAAATGGTAGGAAGCAGGGTAAACAAATCAAACATTTACATTTCCTGTCTCAACTGTATTTCACGTGACTAAAAAAATGAAGATAGCACGTCATTTTTAATAGAAAATTCAGTTATTTATGTATGTATGGGAGTGATAGATTTAGTGTGCCACCATTTTGAAACTCCTATTGAAATAATTGACCTGACAATGTTCATCAATACTAACCATTAGAGAGCATGATAGAGGATGATTCATGGTGAGGAAAGCTGAATCTGCTGATCAATTTTAATATCACAGAGGAAAGAGAACTTAAAATATGTTACCTAATAAGCCGAAACATGTAGCAACACCTAGGAAATATTATGACACACCCAACCCTACTCTCATCACCCACAAAAGATTTCTGATTAAAACAAATATTTCACATTTATGTGCAACTCACCTGCTGTAAAATCTTCAGTCAGATCAATAAATGCATGAGAATGCGGAATTCGCATTTTATTTTTAGTGGTCAATGCAGGATGCCATGATAAATTCCTAAAAAATAAAATAAAATACTTTTCTTAAGGTAAACATTAAATGAGAAAAACCTCTGAATGCAAAAAAATTTTAAATTTACTTATTTTTATGGATATATTTCACATACCAAAAATTCACTTTTTTAGCCTGTATAATTTAGTGGTTTTTTAGTATGTTCACAATTTGCAACCATCATCACAATCTAACTTCAAAAGATTTTCATCATCCTATAAGAAAAATTCTGTACTCATCAGTTACTCCCTATTTCCCCTCCCTTGAGCTCCTGGCAACTATCAATCTGCCTTCTATCTTTATACATTTCTCTACTCAGGACACTTCACATAAATGGGTTCACATAATATGTGGCCTTCTGTGTCTTCTTTCAGTTAGAATATTTTCAAGTTTATCCATGTTGAAACATGTATGGATACTTCAGTCCTTTCTATGGTGTCATAATATTCCATTGCATGGCTACACATTTTGTTTATCCATTCATCTGGACATTTGGCTTGTTTCCATATTTTGGTTGCTATAAACATTCACAAACAAGTTTTTGTATGGACATGTTTTTCACTTTTTCGGGGTGCACACCTCCAAGTGGAAGTTCTGGGGCATAAGGTAAGTACCTCACATATGTTTATTTTTTTTTTTTGAGAAAACTGTCAAACTGTTTTCCAAAGTCACTTCACCAACTTATAGAAGGCTTCTAATATCTCCATATCTTTATCAACATTTATTATTGTTCACTTGTGTTATTACAGCCATCTTAGAGGGTGTGATATAGTATTTCATGTGGTTTGATTTATATTTTCCTGGTGGCTAATGATGTTGAACATGTTTTTATGTGCCTATTGGCTATTTGTATATCTTCTCTGATTAAATGTCTACACAGATCCTTTTTCCAAGTTTAAATTGTTATTATTTTCCTATTGAGTTTTAAGAGTTCTTTATATAATCTGGACAATAAACTTGTATCTGCTATATAATTTGTTAATATTTTCTCCAAGTCTATCTGTTCACTTTCTTGATAGTGGCTTCTACAGACCAAGGTTTACTTGTGACAAAGTTCAATTCATCTATTTTTCCTATTACATTCATAATAGTTGAATTTATAGAGACAGAAAACAGATTAATGGTCGTCAGGCACTGAAGGAAGGGAAGAAGGTAGAGTAATCACTGGATGGGTACGGATTCCTTTTGGAGAGATTAAAAGGTATGGAAACTATATAGAGGTGATGGTTGCATAACATTCTAAATGTACTAAATGACACTAAAGTTTACACATTTTAAATTGTACAACTAGAGATTCCACGGCAAGTTCAACAGTTAGTTTTATGTTGTGTGAATGTTGCCTCATTAAAAAAAGCCAACAGCACAGAGGTTCCATATATTCCTCATCCAGTTTCCATTAATGTTAGCATCTCATATAACTACAGTTATAATCAAACTGGTTTGTAAGTATCAAAACCAGAAGGTAACACTGGTAGTACTAATCAACTAAATAAGAAAGAGCAAGTTTAAATAAAATAATTCTCCAACGATTTCTCATCAGTTAAGAATGCTTGACTGATCCCATCTACCAAGGCTGTACTCAAATCAGCTTCCTCCAAAAGTTCTCTCTTCTCTTACTATTTTCCTATTATACTTTTCCACACTAATGGCATTTGCTTGATGCTTTAAAGCTCCTCCATAAATTCTAACTAGCACCTGGCTCCCACGAAGTAGTTGGCAAATAACTAACTGGCCTGAATTAAAGTCTCAAGTAGCATTTCCTATTCTTCTCTACTTCAGTTAGAATTCACTTAAGTTTTCATAGTATTAAGTTTCAGTCTTATATGGAATCATAGATAAATCATCTCCAAAGAGCAATTTAAAGCCATTTAAGTTCAGCTTAATTGTCCACACAGTACCCAATTGACTGGATAGCAAATAAGGTTTATAATTGTGAATTTGATTCTGATTCCTTTGGAAATCAGAGAGAACACAATGGACTGAATAGTTCTTGGCAGATGGAATCTGGGAAAAATAGGCACTCATCAGAAGAAAATTTTCTCTACACAAAATGCATCTACACACAGCAATCCCTTCCCAATAACTTTCTTCCACACTTATTTTAGCACACAATGGGTCTAAACACAGTTTAACCAAAACAAGACAGTAAAATCAAATCCAAGCAGGAGTCATAAAAACTAATTTTATTATTTTAAACAAAACCCCGTAATATATGGTCATGGTAATTAAACTGAGAAGTTGCATTTAGCATTTGTTATAAGATAATTCATGCCAAGAACTCATTTGATTATTCTTCTTTTATACTACACAGGTTAGAAATCCTTAAAAGCCCAATTTTAAAATGGCTGATTCACTTCTGCTAAAGATGGGCCTTTTATTCATCAGTTCTGGAAATTCTCAGTATTCAAATAATTGTAATTACTAACAAAATAATCAGACTTGGGCTAAAGATTTTCTGGCAAGTTTAACCCAGAGTCATTTCAGAAGACTTTCTTAATGTTCCCAATATGATCAACCTATTTGTGTTATAGGCCAAGAATAACTTAAAAATATAGACTTTCATACAGTTGAGTGCAATAAAGTTGATCATGTGGCTCTGTCTTTACTATCTGAGCAGTTATTGCTCTCATTCCCTATAAAATTTTTAATAGGCTGACTTTGAAATAAGTTATAGCTGGAATCAACTAATTGGTGACATTCTGCCCTAGGAGCTATTTAAACAAATGTATATTTCAAAGGAAAAATCTGGAAAAGTGATAAAGTAAAAGTCATTAAAGAGACACATTATCAGTCAAATTCTGCACAAAGATGTGTTTTATTTGGCCCATTTGTTCTTTTAAGAAACATGAATTCACTGCAAAAAATTTTTTACAAAAATCAAGTTTCACACAAAAATCTGGATTTCCAGCTTCTCTTGAAATATCAGAAAGTCTGTTAACTGACTGGCTTTGTTGGTCCTCACAGGCAACAGAAGTTCTGATCTTCCCAAACTGCTCTACTCACTTTGGTTTCCTTCTTGGCCCCTTTAAACATCTGAATTTGCAACTCCCGACAGTATATTAATTGTAATCTTGCTTTCATGAACATTTCAAACCAAAATCCAAGTTCTTCCCAGTATTTTAAGTTTTATACTCCATGCCTATGCTTTTCTATTTTACATTTATATCTCTTAAAAGACATTAGCTGGCTGGGCATGGTGGCTCAAGCCTGTAATCCCAGCACTTTAGGAGGCCAAGGCAAGAAAATTGGCTGAGCTCACTGGGTTCGAGACCAGGCTGGGCAAATTGGTGAGACCTCGTCTCTACAATAAATCAAAAAATAAGGCTGGGCTCAGTGGCTCAGTCTGTAATCCCAGCACTTTGGGAGGCCAAGGCAAGTGAACTGCCTGAGCCCAAGGGTTCGAGACCAGCCCAGGCAACTTGGCCAGACCTCGTCGCTACAATAAATAAAAAACTAGCCGGCGTGGTAGTGCATGCCTGTAGTTCCGGCTACTTGCAAGGTTGAGGCGGAAGGATCGCCAGAGCCAGCAGGTCGATGCTGTGGTGGCTGTGAGTGTGCCACTGCACTCCAGCCTGGGAGACAGAGTGAGATTGCAACTCAAAAAAAAAAAAAAAAGGCATTAGCTGACCCTTGGTTTATTTTATACACAATGTCTATTTACCATTCTGATGTTTACCAAAGGTAGAACAAGAACAGAAGAGCTGTTTTTCTTTTTGTGGTACATTTAAGATGGTTGAAAACTGAATATACATACAGTTGTCTATCAGAATTAACAATTTATTTAACAATTTATAGTTGACATGCTTATACATAAACGTCAATTTGCCCAACTGCTTTGTTGGAATAATTCCTGTGGACTGGAACTACTAGGGTAGAGCATATGCAAAATCTACTTTGAGTAAATTTCCCATAACTGAAATGAGTTTTCCTACTGTTTGAGAATTCTTCATTTTCTAAAACTGTACGAACGTTAAATGGCAGTATATGTAATCACTGATAATGTAATATTACAAAGAAATTGATTTTTCACATATTAATGTTAAAGTACATCATCTTAGTATAGTTTTATTAGCCATTTGCGTTAATTTTTTCTGCTCCTTTTATTTTCGCTTCCCTTGTGTAATGGTAGTGTCTTTGTTATTGATCTCTAAGAGATAATTTATGATTAAGAATGTCAACATTTTGTCAAACACTGCAAATGAAATATACCTTTTCTGTTTAAGAAAAAATTATAGTTGACAATAGAACTCATTTGTTCTACCTTTAAATTTGCTCTTTTTATACATTATGGTCTTTCACCAATATAAAGTAGATAATATATTTTTCAAGCAAGTGAAATAATATAAAGTGTAATCTTCTCATATGTGTGTCCAAGTCTACTTGAAGGCTAAGGTCACAAACATAAACTGCTCTGATTATAAAGAAAGAAAAAGCAGAGAAAAAAGAGTGGGCAGTTCTAAGCCAGGTTGAGTCTATTATTTGACATATCTTGACCTCTGTAGAAAATTTCAATTATTAACTTTTCTCCAAATGGAATAAAAGATATGTCAGTGTTCTAATTTGTGGGCATCATCACCCTTAATCTCAAAGAATAGCACTTACCAAAAGATGAATTTAAATGTAATTAATGTCAACTGTAGCTTTTGGTTGTCTACGGTAACTGCTCTTTGAAATGACTGCTAATCTACTCAATTTTCAATGATCAGCTTAAAATGAATTATCAATATTTTAAAAATTTATTTGTTTATCACAGAGGCAGGGTCTTGCTCTGTTGCCCAGGCCAGAGTGCAGTACACAATCATAGGTCACTGTAACCTCAAGCTCTTGGGCTCAAGTGATCTTCCTACATCAACCTCCCAAGTAGCTGGGACTACAGGCATGTGCCACTACACTCAGCTAATTTTATTTTAGAGACAGGGTTTTACTATGCTACCCAGGCTGGTCTTGAACTCCTGACCGCAGCAATCCTCCAACCTTGGCCTTCTATAGTGCTGGGATTATAGACA